CGCGTGGACGTTCGGGTCAACGTATTGCGGCGATTTCGCGGAGTGCACGCACATTGGCGCGAGGTCTACCTAGCCATGTGTTCTCGTGTCTGGGCCATCCCTTCGCGTGCCCCATGGGTCTCTAAGAGGAGTCAGTCTTGGGTTGCCAGTTCGCGCGGGCTGACGCCGTCCACCCATGCTCCGACATGGTCTATGTGGCTCCTAAAAGGCTTCTGCGCTCTCCCATGGGGCTTGGATGTCCCTGCAGGACCTGCTTCGAGGGATCCTTACTGACCCTCTTCGGGGCAAGCTTGGGGAATCTCGCTGGGGCACCCCCAGGGTCAAATGGTTGCACCTGGAGGGCAACAGTGTCAAGGCTTCTACTACGGGCTTAACTACGGGCTTCAATTGGGTCCAATCGGGTTTCGCTTTCTTTACGTGTGTTGGCGAGTGGCTGCTTGGGGTTTATCATCTGGCTGCTCGCGCGCACGCGCGCAGACGCCCTGCGTCGACGGCCTCCACCCACTACGTCAGTCTTCAAGTACGGGCGGACGTTAGTGCACATTGCTCGGACGTTGCCAGTGAAGTCACCAGCACCTGGTCGGTCAGAGATCACTCGAGGGCCAACTCACATTCGAAGCGCATCGGAGCTTGCTCGCACAAGCAGGTGCGCTCCAAGCGATTGTCCATGCTGCGAGGTTTCAATGGCATCCCGCTCGCGGCGGAGGGCGAAAGGGCGCCTGCATGGGCCCGTCGCTTTGCGTCCAACGAGGCCGCGGCAGTCATCCCACGTGCAGACTTGGAATGGCTGTCCAAGTTCATCCCTGCTCTCCCAGGCTCATTCACATTCGATTTGGATTGCGCCATTCAGGGCCTGCCACATACCAGTCAGCTGGAGAGAAGTTGCAAACGCACCAGGAATGCCGCCGCGGGCCCCGACGGCGTCGCAAGGCGAATGCTCGCCAAGCTTTACCGCCCTAGTGCCAGCCTCCTCTTTCCCCTTTCACCACCAAGGTTTTCCTCGGAGATCAGGGGCCCACCCAGTGGAAGGGAGGACATCATCGGTCATTGTTCAAGAAAGTGGCCCCTGGGGGTCGCAACTGTTACCGATCTATTATGGGCCCATCTCAGCTCGGCAAACGTTCTAGATCCTTTTTGGGAGCTCAGTTGGCCCCGCAACTCCCCAAAACAGCAGGACCACGCCAGTATGGGGGCATACCAGGCGTAGGCGCAGACCATGCAGCGTCGGAGCTACGCCTCTACCAGCAGCTCGCGCAAGCGCGAGGTCTTTCTGCCATGTTCGTGCCGTTGGATGCGGTGCAGGCCTTTTCAAACGAGCCTCAGAAAGCTGATCGTTACTACCACCCCTTCCTCCTCTCCTACTGATATTTCTAGGCTGCTCGCATTGGCTGGTTTATCTTGGGAGGTGGCTAATGAGCTTGCTCAGTGTGTGGTTAGACAAGGGCCCATGTTCCATGCTCTAGGTTTACCAAAGAGACTACAGGCACTCGTGGCCGACGCTTATCATGGCTCTTGGTTCGTGTTTCCGGGCAGTGATGATATTGCGTTTCCAGCTATTGGCTCCGGGTCAGGTCAGCAACTAGGGGATATCGTATATAATTTTGCGATGTCGTCCACCATGGCTCTCGTGCGAAGTCGATTACTAGAGCTAGGCCTCGAATGACGTTGTCCTACCTCTCAGTCTCACTCCATCGCGCAGCAAGTTGATCACGCAGAGGCGGTCTATATGGAGCACAGTCTGGACATGGCCTCTTTTGATGACTCCTTGTCCATGTCCACGGGCAAGGCCCAGACGTTGCTAGCCCTCGCCCCCTGCGTTGCCGGTATGATTTTCGATTCTTTCGCTGGGAGAGGCACGACGCTGCGCGCAGGCAAAGGCCAGCCCGCAGTTTTGCTCCAATTTCGTGGCCCCAGTTCCCATCGTGCCAAACTGGCTCTTTGGAGGGAGGCCGAGGGTGTCATCAATGTCAGCACGCAGGCATGCGGCACGTTCGCTTTCCACGCGGTCAGACAGTGCACACTTTTGGGCACGGTCTTGGATGAGGGGGGCAGCATGGGGCCAGAGCTGGGCCATCGGGCCCAATGTTCTTCGGGATCCTGGTCCACTTTGCGCAAGGTTCTCAGGGGGCCCATGCTGGAGGAGCAGATTGGTTTTACCCTGGTGGATTGTTTGATGTTCTCGGGCCGTTTGTATAACTCAAATATCTGGCCCACTCTCACAGCAGCGCAACACGCCAGCCTTGCGGACGACATCGTGCGCATGTATCGTGCTGTCATATGTAAGCCGCGCACGGACGACACCGTCTTGATCAATGCATAGGTGCTGGGCATGGTTTCCAGACTGTCGCTGGACATGTGTTTAACTGCCCATCGCTTACGCTGATTCGGCCGTTTGCTTTGCAACGGTCCCTTCCATCTCATGGCACTAGCAGGAGCTGATTACCGAGAGACCGCACATACACAGAATTCTTGGGTCAGACAGATGGTGGAGGATCTTGTATGGCTTCGCAAGTATACAAAATCGTTCAAGATTTACCTGGTCCCCGGGATGACCTGGTGCCATGGGAAGCGTTTGTCCGTCGCTGTTTAGCTAAGTGGAAGCAGCTGAACCGCGCTGCTCTCACAAGTGCTCTTTCCTACCACCGACGCAACATTCTGGCGGATAGTGCCAAGGACGCGATTTTTCCGATATTGTACGATCCTGGTGTTCCTAGACCCGTCTCCGATTCCTTACACCCCTACATGCTCAGAAGGCTTCGGAGGCTCCCAAGTACATATGTATGTGGTGTCCACCGGTCTTCTCTTTGATGCGCGGACTCCGTCAACATATTGCCTGCACGCACCGCTCTCAAGCTCATGCGTAATGCCCTAGGGCCTGGCAATGCTTGCACATACTGTCACACGGTTTTCGCCAATCGTCGTGGTCTACTGGAACACCTAGCCAAGAAGTCCCCTACTTGTGCAGTCGCAGTTCTAGTGCACGGACCTTGTATCAGTGCCGACGAGTTTGCCTCGTTGAACGCGAAGGCCGCCGCAGATGCTGTGGCGCACCGCAAGGCAGGTCTGGGAAGATGGAGACAAGAACATCCAGCCTTCAATGGAACCCGAGCAGGCAAACTACAGACTTTGAGCAGCAAGTTCTTCCTCTTCTGAGTGTTTCTGAGGCCCGTTCCCTCGTTGTTGAATATGATAACGATTTCTCTGAAGACGCCGTTCGGGCCACGGTTGCCCTGTCGGGCCCTGAGGCTACTGAGCCGTTGGCCGCTGCTGGCCCCGAGACTCTGGATGACAGATTCTGGCCGTTCAGGCCGCAGGATTTCCAAGGCGTCGCTGCGATTATCTAACCCTACAAAATCCGACGCTCTTCCATTTTTGTCTTGAATATTTGTTCTGACTTGAGGCGATCCGGAGACAGCCATTGGAATCTTGAATATTGAATTTGCTCACGCTGGCTCTGGTTTCGAACTATATTGTTTGTCGTTAGATGTTGCTATCGACGCCACCCGCGGGGATCTGACCAGTGATAGCGCCCTAGAAGTGTGGGTCGAGCACATACGAACTAGGAGGATTTTCAACTCAGGTGGGGGGCACCCTTGTGAGACTTGGCAGGCTGCGAGGTAGTACGAAGGGGGCCCCCCACCGCTCAGGACTACCTCGCGTGTCTGGGGAGTGTCCGACTGTACCCCCAGGCAGGGAGGGCAGCTGCAAGTTGGACCTCCATTGCTTCTTGCCCTGGTCACACTCCTTGCCGAACACCTACGTGCTGGCACGTCTGGGTGGGGTGAGCACCCCGTTCCTCGCGACTGGCTCCCCCACGCTCCCTCCTCCTTCGTTGGCCCCCGCTCATCGCGTTGGTTTCGGCTGCCCGTTCGTCGGCCACGGATTTGTTGATCAATGCGAACGCATGGCCCCCGACACTGTCTGGTCCTCGGTCGGCAGAGCGCCCACGCGCACTGTAGGCATCATAATGCCAGCATTACCTGTTCAGTTGACGTCCACCCCTGGAGGTGGACGGCGTTCCCATGGACGGTCTGTTTACATGACTCTGCTCGGTAAGGGTAGGCCATCGCTTTTCAAAACTGCTCGCAAAAAGGTTTATCCTGTGGGCCTCTGTCAGGCCATTGCTCGTGCTGTCTACTCCTCGATTTTGTCTTTCCTTCCTAGTCCCGATGAGGACCCAGATGTGGTTTGCCCACCAGATTATCAGGGAGTCTTAACAAAAGGTCTCTAGTGTTTCTATGTTCCGTGGAGCGTGGAAGCCAACAAGAGGTTCCTGATCCCACCCGACTTTGCTGGCAAGAGTTGCCGCAGTAAGGTCGATCCCGAGTCTCACGGGCTTCTTCCAGAGGCTGAAGATACCTCTGGTCAGGAGGATAGCGTTTGCGCTGCCCACAGTCTTGCTCCGAGGCCCGATGAGCAAGATTGTACTGAAACGGTTGACGAACAGGCATATCTTGATATGCAAAGCGTGGATGCTTTGGCCTTTTTGGCCAGCCCCGTTCACCCCGCTCCTTCCGTTCCCCTCGACCCGTCGTTGTCGCCGTCGTTTGTCCCTCTCCCCCTCCTCCCCTTCCAGCCTTGACCGAGGAGCAGCGCACTCGGATCGAGGCCAACCATGCCCTTGCCCGCGCCCGCAGGGAAGCCCGCGCCCGCAGGGATCTCGCTGCCCGAGGTCTTTGGACCGCTGGAGGCGTCCCACGAGGCTCCTTCATCCCGCAGGCTGGGAGCAGCCTGGAGGGACGCCATTTTGGCGGCGGGGCTTCTTCTCTGTTTGCTTGACCTATCAAGCCATCATCGAGCGCGCACCCGGCGAAGCCGCGCGTCGCATCATCAACCTCCCTCCTCCCTTCTCCCCCCCCTCCCTCCTCCCTCCTCCCTCCTCCTCCTCCTCCTCCTCCTCCTCCACCTCCTCCTCCTCTTCCTCCCCCTCCTTATTGTCGTCGTCCCCCATCCCCTCCGCGTCGTCGTCGCCGCAAACGCTGACGTCACCGCCACCGCATTTTCGCCGCTCCGCGCGCGCGCGCACCCGCGACTCAGCCGCTGGCGGCGACGGCGCCCGCGGGGTCGCTGAGCTCGCTGGCGATCTCGGCCTCGAAGGAGGCGAGGCGGGCGGCCTGCGGCGCGATGGCGGCCGCCGCCTTCCTCCCTCTTGCTCCGGGAGGGGGGAGGAGGAGGAGGAGGAGGAGGAGGAGGAGGAGGAGGAGGAGGAGGGAGAGGAGGAGGAGGTTCAGGAGGGGAGGGGGAGGGGGAGGGGAGGGGAAGGAGAAGGTTCAAGGGGGGGGGAGGGGAGGGGGAGGTTCAGGAGCGGAGCGGGAAGAGGACGAAGAGGGCGAGGGGAAGGGAGAGGAGGGGGGGCGAGACGTTTGTCCGTCGGCTGAATTCCAACTGCTATTAATGCTAGCTGCTACTTAGCTCAGAGGTCGAAACAAATAATCAACTGTGGCAACGATGTGCTCAATGATGGTGTAAGTACCTGCTGCCGCCGCAAATTCGTAATTCGTCGCTGCTGGCCTCCTCGTCCCCTCCCCTCCTCCTCCTCCTCCTCCTCCTCCTCATCCTCCTCCTCCTCCTCCTCCTCCTCCCCCGCCTCCTCCTCCTCCTCCTCCTCCTCCTCCTCCTCCCCCTCCTCCTCCCCTCCTCCTCTCCCTCCTCCTCCTCCTCCTCCTCCTCCTCCTCCTCCTCCTCCAACTCCTCCTCCTCCTCCTCCTCCTCCTCCTCCTCTCCTCCTCCTCCTCCTCCTCCCCTCCTCCTCCTCCTCCTCCTCCTCCTCCTCCTCCTCCTCCTCCTCCTCCTCCTCCTCCTCCTCCTCCTCCTCCTCCTCCTCCTCCTTCTCCCAATGCTCCAGCCCAGACCAATCCGCCCCGGTCTGGTCGACGGGTGCATCGGCGACCGCCATCAATTGCAACAATTGCCGCTGGCCCTCCTGCCACTGCGCCCTCGAAGAACACCACTGCACTTTCACGCATTCGCCGTCAGCAACCTCTGCGTGCCGATGGCCGCCGCCGTCGCGGCGGAGAGGAGAAGCAACATTACTGTGCCGTCACGCTCGGGTGCGCCGAAGAAGAGGGGGGGGGGCAGGAAGAGGAGTTGGTGCGCATCATCGGCCGAGGCATGCGCAGGACGACGGGGACCCAGGGCACGTCTTGACAGCTGGAGACGGGGTCATGACATCTGGGAGGCACCGTGTGGCCCTGGCCGTAACGTCTGCACCACCCCCATAGTCCTCCCCCCCCTGCACACCACCGACACGTACGTCCTCTGCGTGCCGGCGGGCGTCGGCAAGCAGAGCGCGTGGCGAGATGCTGCGAGTCCAGCTCGCTGTCGCTATAGTGGCCGCTGCAGG